AAACATCTCACACACAGTCCAGTTTCATACAGACACGCTGTTTGGAGTAAAGCAGCTGTCCTCTTGATCAGTCCTGAGCTCCATCAGAGCGTCTAAACATTTCAGACACAAAAAGTTGAATTCTGTTTCCTCTGCAGTTTCCTCTGTCTGTCAAGTTATAAACAATTTTTGTTTTGTTTTGCTGTCCCACAATATTATTTAACTATGACATTACTGCGCGCATGGAAGCGTCCATCACTTTGTGTTGAAAAGTGGTGGGTCTCCAACATTGACGTTGTGTTGGAGAGATTTGTGCAGTGGAGAGAGATAAGGTGCTGCGTGAATATGTGCGCTGTCCGCAGCTCTGCAGAGGTTTTTAATAGGCCTAGGAAAAAAAATCGAAAATCAACATGTGGTGTTCAGCGTTGATATTGAGGTGGGCTGCCACAAATAAATCAATGTATGGGAACACTGTACTGTTCAGCTGCTCTATATGTGGCTTCGCTGTTAATATTAAAACATAGAATTAAAACTAGGCAAGATGAATTTGTCATAATTGCTTTGCATGTAAGAGACGACTTCATAGCTAAGTTATAGAAGTTGGGAACCCTGTTAACATGCAGAAACTTTGTTCTTTGTTGTTATACCTTTGTGTGTTGCCTGTGTTTTGGATTTGATTTTGGTGGGTCTAAATGGTGTATAGCATAACTACTTTTGTAATAAGACACATTATGAATATTAATATTCAGGAATATTATTCATAAAATTGTTTTGCGTGGCATAACCTGAATTCCGTTCGCCCAGGGCCTTCAGCACTCCCAAGGTATGGGTTTTAATAATTATACAATGATACCATTCATAAGTGATCAGTTAGTTAATAATCGCTCAATTATTACTGCTTGCGTAACGGATGCACGTGGCTGGGTCCGAACTTCAGTGTGAGCAGTATAAATTCACTCGACTAAAAATGGCATAAAAGCTTTAAAGAACTTGGTCGTTCTTGAATGAAAATTGTGCGACTTGGAAACGAGGGAAAAGCCGAGGTCGCAGCGCTTCGCGTGTGTGGCTTTAAAAGAACAAAGGAATCTTCGCGGCAAGCCGGGCCGGACTTCTTAGGGCGTTGCTGAGAGACGGAGCACGCTGAGCGCGTGCCGAGACCTGCTGGAGAGCCGAAGTACATGAGAAGAGCTGAAGAGGGGGCGAACAACAAAGAGCTCCGCTGTTGTGCGTGTCGACTCATTTCTGTTTCCGGTGCTTGTGTGTTGGTACCGTGTTGTGCTGCTCTCGCTAAATACCAGTGACATTTGTTAGATTACAGTGGCCAACTGTCCGCTAAAAACTTATTCTTACAGTAATTTTGCCTAAGCACTCACAGTTCTTTCCATCTTTTAGTGACTGCTGTTCAATTTCAGCTGTTCAAATGTTTTGGTAGCTGACGCTACAGTACTTTAGCTTAGCCATTAGAGACTTTAGCTTAGCAGCTAGCGATGGCTTCTCCTTCTACCTCTCTCTCTCCTACTTTCTCCTGCTCGGTGTGTCAAATGTTCAGTTACTCCTCTGCCTCCTTTAGCGGTAATGGTACATGTAATAAGTGTAGTTTATTTGTAGACATGGAGGCGAGGCTCAGTGATTTAGAAGCCCGGCTCCGCACCTTGGTAGATCAGTCTTTAGCTACTGTAGCTAGCCAGTTCCCGGTAGTCGGTGCGGAACGGCCTGAGTTAGCCTCTGGCGCCGTCTCCCGGCATCTCCTGTGCAGCCAGGAAGGGGAGGCTGGGTGACTGTCCAAAGGAGAAATAGTCATAAGCATTCAAAGTCCACAGGGCACCATCAACCTGTTCACGTCTCTAACAGATTTTCCCCACTCAGCGACACACCCGCTGAGAAACCAACTCTGATCAATGGCAGCTCCATTTTGAGAAACGTGAAGTTAGCGAAGCCAGCGGCCATAGTTAAGTGCATCCCTGGGGCCAATCGGAGGTCACTAAGATTAATGTTGAGTCGGTGTGTACATATGCAAAAACAATGTCGGACACTGTAGTTTTGGACCCCTGCCAAATCAGACCAGTGATGACATGTATAGCCGCATGTCGTCATTCCGCATCAGATCTCTCTCTTCTAAAGGTGTACTAGTAAATGAACTTATGATATTGATTTATTTTGTCTTACTGAAACCTGGCTGGTTGATGGAGAATATGTTAGCCTAAATGAATCCACCCCTCCCAGTCATATTAATACTCACATTCCTCGAGGCACAGGCCGAGGAGCTGGCAGCTATCTTCGACTCTAGCCTACTAATCAGCTCTACACCTAAACTAAATTAAAACTCATTTGAAAGCCTTGTTCTTGGTCTTTCACACCCAAGTTGAAAATCACTGCAACCAATTCTTTTCATTATAGTGTACTGAGCACCTGGCCCGTACTCTGAATTCTTATCTGAATTTGCAGAGTTTTTGTCAACCCTAGTCCTTAAAACGGACAAAGTTATTATTGTAGGGGATTTTAATATTCATGTGGACGATGAGAACGAAAGCTTTAGTACTGCGTTTATCTCTCTGTTAGATTCCATTGGCTTCTCTCAGTAATACTAATAACTAATAAAATACTAAAATAAAGACGGTTAGCTCCATAGTATAATACTGAAACTCGCAAATTAAGCAAATATCGCGGAAACTTGAGAGGAATTGGCATTCCACCAAACTGGAAAATTCAACTACATCGACGACTGGCTCATCCTAGCCCAGTCTCGAGAGTTGGCCGTTCGGCTTCGAGATGTCGTTCTGGCTCATCTGCTGTGTCTAGGGCTGAGGCTCAACGCAAAGAAGAGTGTGCTGGCACCCACCCAATGGACTACGTTCCTAGGGGTTGTATGGGATTCGACAACGATGCGGGCACAATTGTCTCCGGCACGTGTCAACACCATATTGGCTGCCGTGAAAGGGGTGAAGTTAGGCCACGCCATCACTATAAAACACTTTCAACGAGTTGCAAGGGGATCCTGGCAGGTGCATCAGTCCCAGTGGCATATCAACTGTCTCGAGATGTTGGCGGTGTTCCATGCTCTAAGGAGTTTCCTGCCCGATCTCCAAGGCCACCACGTCCTGGCTCCTTCCGACAACACAGCGATGTTGGCCGAATCACCAGGGCGGTCTGCGCTCGTGCCCTCTGTACAGACTGGCGCGTCAGATCCTCCTGTGGTCCCATCAGAGGTCACTATCGCTCAGGGCGATGTATCTCCCGGGGACGCAGAATCAGGGAGCAGACCTGCTGTCGAGGCAGGGGCTGAGGCCTGGGGAATGGAGACTTCACCCCGAAGTGGTGGAGCTTATGTGCGGAGAGTTCGGCCCCATAGACGTGGATCTGTTTGCGTCTCAAGAGACTACGCACTGCCCGCTATGGTTTTCTCTTGTTCCTCCAGCCCCGTTGGGTCTGGACTCCATGGTACATTCGTGGCCGAGGCTACGTCTGTACGCTTTTCCCCCAGTCGCTCTGCTCCCGGGGGTTCTGGAGGGGGTCCGCCAGGACAATGTCGGCCTACTGCTCGTAGCCCCGTTCTGGCCAACCCGGGTGTGGCTCTCGGACATCATGTCGCTCCTGGACAGCCCGCCGTGGCAGGTCCCTCTGAGGAGAAACCTGCTGTCCCAGGCGCAGGGCTGTATGGCAAACTGTGGGTCTGGCCCCTGAGGGGGCACAGTACCTAGAGGCGGGTCTAACAGCCGGAGCAGTCGAGACCCTCCTCAGCTCCAGGGCCCCGTCCACACGGAGGATATACGGCCTGAAGTGGAGTGTTTTCTCCACTTGGTGTAGGGAGCAGTCGGTGGACCCTGAGAAGAACACACTAAGACAGATGCTGGTACACCCCAAAGACCGCACACCCAAACACAAGAAAAGCAATCTTGTGTATGCGGTCCAATGCAGTGCTTCAAATTATAATGAAATTATTACTGAATGAACCTCCCACTACTAAAGTGGGGTAATACGTGCATTAATGTGGAGCGCCCGTCCTCAGATATCTGTCCTGAGGCCCCAAAAGTGAGAGCGTGCAGAACTTTGTGCGTTATGTAGGAGTGAAAACAAAGCATTTTGAGAAAAAGAAAATATTCTAATGGTGTGAAACTCTGATAGCATGAATTTACAAAATGATTTTTGCGAATGTGGACATTTTATCTATGTGTTCACATTTTTTTATATATGAGTGTGCGTGTTTTCATATTCAGCAAAAAATGTGAGCATATCTGTTAAATTTTTTTATTTTGATACAAGCGTGGCTTCAAGAACACAACTTCAGCCTCCAAATACAGTTGAATCAGCACGTCTCTAAAACAGTTTTAACACAAACAGATTAAAACCATCATGAAGGAGGATTTACTGCAGGACATTTAGATTAGACTGCATTAGTTGAATTCAGAAAGAAAATTGAGAGCAGTAGCATACATGTGCTCAAAGCCCACAGAAAGGATTTCCCTTAATCAAAAAACAGGTTACTGTGATAAAAAAAAAAAAAAATCAATAGGTTAATAGTTCAGCACTTTCACATCTACAGGACAGTTGTTGCCACAGCAAAGCTTGACAAGACTTAAAATTGAAATTTATCTTTCAAACTAAATTATTATCAATGTAAAGTTCAGTTTAAGTATTTTTTAGAGCAAAAGCTGCTTGTTAACTTTAGATATAATTATACATTAAGGTACACTAGCTCAGATAGGTACATGATGGACATGTGTTCCTCTGACCTCTAAAATATGCTCCTTAAGTTTTTTAATCCATTTGTTAACGACTGTAGGAAATTCCATGACAGCATTAGTTTAATCCTATCTGTAATGTAATCAATAAACAACTTCCTGTTTTCAGTTATTTGAGGGGGAAGTTTTATGTAAATGACAAATCATCATCTTGGTTTCATCAACATTTGGATCCTTCAAAAACCTTGACATGCTGGTATGCCAGGCTACATATACCTACATTTGTTCGGTGCTACTTAAACAATTCATTTTTATTCATTTATTTTACTCCCTTCATTATAGAGAAAAAGCAGATGCCAACCAGAGATGAGGAATTTGAAGAAGAAGGGGGAGTGAGCAGGAGCGCCCCCGCTGGTAGTTGGTATGTTGCCGGCAGCTGTGCTGTTGTTGCTGGTGGTGTTGGTGTCTGAGCCAGGAAGGTGGCGTTGTTTCCAACTAACAACACTGCTGCCTGGAACCAAGAGCCGCTCTGCTCACCACCAGATCACCCTGAACAAACAAACAGGACAGATGTGTTCAAGTCCAACTTTTTGTGAAACAGGATCTACAGTAATGTTACTTTTTTCCAAATGTGCTGTACGATCAATACGTCATTTTGTCTTCTCATCAAGCTCTCTTGTGAGTGTGTAAAGTGAATAAGCAAATTTCCAGAGACGCCTTGAAATGTGCTCATTTTAAAGCGAGACTATGCAACTTTGCCTGAACAGCAGTCACTGTGGTTACATGTGGCAATTAAGGAATAATGAAAAACGATCAAACGTAAACAGTAGTGAGAGTTTAGAAGAGTTGATTAAGAAAAAAGTTTGAGTCTAAGTCAGTTGAAAATTTGTCTTCACCACTTTAAAAATCTTTGCTATAATGGACGGCAAATTGGAGTCCAAAAAAGCTCACTGGAGTCATTAAAGTACTGGTGCAGTGCATAAAAGCGTCAGCTAAATGAATGTAATGTCATATAATACTCTCTGTGTGGTTCATAAATGGTGATAAATGATTCAAACATCCTGGGAAGTGCACGCACAACTGTGCGTCTTCTACCGAGGCCCACTTTAACCTGCCGTTAGGCCCTGGGGCTGAGAGGTTTGGTAGACCCCCAATAAAAACAATAAAAATGTGATGCCTAATTACTGCTTTTGTCTATACTTTTGTGACAGCAAGCATGATCGGTACGCGTGCAGTAAGGAGTCACCTTATGACCGAAATCTATGCATTTTCTTATTTCTGACCATTTCATAAACAAAATATCTACAACCTGGGGGAGTAAAGGTATAAATGAGTGTATTAATAAATATAACATTAAATAAAAAATATTGCTAGTATAATAGTATATTAACAGGTTACACTTTATTTGGATAATCTGTTTAGCTAGTTTATTAGTTGAGATTCAGCTGTTTCACTAATAAAACCATTTTCTGATATTAGCCTACACCACTGTGGTTAAGGTTTAATTAGCGCCAATGTTTGTATATTCATTATAATTTCGGATAATAGTAGGACTATAGGCTACTATAGCTTACAATTAGAAGCCTAATATTAATTCCAGTTTCATTTTAGTGGGTTTCTTCAGTCATAATATTACTGTGCATGAAACATGCTCTACATGGTGGTTAGTCTCTCATTTGTTACGCAAAGTAGGCTTCTCAGTAATAATAACCATGCATACAGAGTTCAACATTTCTAAAGTTCACTGTAGTGACTCAACCTTTTTTAATGTCCCGCCTACTTCAGGCTGTGACTGGTTGGTTCGCGAAAAGTGACTTTGACAAGCAACCATTCACAGGGGTGATGAAAGGCAGTTGATCTTCCCTGCGGAGATTAGCCAGCAGGAGAGAACAGGAATAGGGGGCAGAGCAGGGGCAGCTTGTTCATTAGGGTGACCGGGAGACCAGGTGGAAAGGGAGGGGATTTATCTCACACTGCTGGTAGGGGAGAGCAGGGGTGAAAGTACCATTTTTCAGAAAAACCTGATTTTAAAAGACAATTTTTCAGACAGAGGTATATTTTTGCTGTGGTCATTAACTCACAGGTGTGGTCTATCAATATCAGGTGGTATTTTGTACAAATGTAAAACGACTTCTGTATAATTGATTTTATGCCGTCACAGCTTGGACTGCAAATGTAGTCAGGGCTCTAAGAAAATCGCCACAATGTGCATTAAAGCGGGCTTGCTTCTTCCACACATGCCACACACACACACACACACACACACTCAAGGAATATGTTACAATTTAGCATTTATTCACACACTTTCATTAAGATTTTTATCATTATTTTATTAATTCATTAAAAGCTTTTGTTTTTATAATATTTTAAACAGCATTATACATTGATGTTTATATCACCATAGGCTGTATATTAAGTTAGTGGGAGAAAACCAGTAGTTCTATGTAAAATATGCCATTGAGCCCCCCCCACATAGCCAAAATGGCATGATCCTCATTTCATAATGCCACTGCGAAGATTCGACTGTGAGATTTGTAGTCGAATCAGGCTCCTCTTATAGCAGCACTTTGTGCCATGATTTCATCCTTCTAGAACTTATTGGTGTATTTATTATCCATTGTTGCCATCTAGTGGCCTTTTATGTGCTAATTTTACATCTTTATTTTCTATTTTAACACCTTTACTTGGTGATGTTATTAATTATGTGATTAATATAGTTTGTATTATTATTTCACCACAATGTTGTTTATATTTTTGGGGTCATTTCAATCACAATTTTCCCTATTAAAACTTCAGAAAGTCACATTTTTTAAAGTTTCTTCTTTTTTGGTTATATAGTTACAAAAAGGTTTTTGCGTATGTGCATCAAGTGAACACTGCCTTTGTGTATTTTCGCATCTGCATTTGAAAGAACTTGCATCTGTGTGATTTCCACTCACACTTGCAGCCTGTTTCTTATGTACTTCACTCAGGAATGTGGTCTAATTACAGAATAGGCCTACAGAATAAATAAATAAATACATATTATTAGTAGTAGTAGTTTTAGTTGTAGTAGTAGTAGTATATGCCTCAAGTGCAGATGTAACTATCCTTGAGCAAACTATGAGCACATCGATTTCAGAACCACTAACAGATTGTTCACCAGTCAAGAGCTTCAGTGAATGAAGCTTCAGGTTACAGGTATAAACCTAATCTCTGCTGTGAAATTTGATATTTTACTGCATGCTTCATTATTATATACGAATGTTTCACTTTGTGGTTTTTGATCATTTTATTAGGTTGCAGTTAGGTAAAAGTTCCCATGGGAAAGACGCTCATTAGAGAGTTTTCTTATCTGACTGTCCTTGATAGGCCTTCATGTCAGGGCATTTGTACCCTGCTCCCTTCCTAAGATAGCTGCGTAATACCCTTACAGTATAAAGTCACCTGTTTCTACACTGTCTCTTGGTCTTACAGTACATTCTGCAGACTGGTCGCACTCTGTATGTACGTCTGAACCCTTAAAACCCTTTATTTCAGAAGACTCACTAAAGGACATATTTCTATTACACTGCTCAGACACAAGTTTTTGATGCGTCTGTCTGCTTTAGGTGATCTCTGGACTCTGACAGCGCTGGGCACTTCAGTCGAAGTCCACTTTGTGGTCGAGAGATCAGAACTTCAGGAGTTCCTTTTTTCAGTAAAAGAACTGTGGAAATCTTCTTCTGCAGGTATGAGACCCTTATGTTGCAAACAACAATCTACTTTCCAAAATTGTCTTAAAAAAACACAACAAAAGAAAAACGGTCTGCTCTTAGTCAGTGATGTAAGTTAGACTTTCACCTAGTTAGTGTGTTAATGTGCTTAATCTACATTGCAGGGTGTTACTGGAAAGACTTCCATCCCTTGAAAGTATTAGCGAATGTTAAGCTCAACAACCAAACTAGTGCTAGTTTTTAAACAATCCTAACACTATCTATCTATATATCTATCTATCTATATCTATCTACTATCTATCAATATTTTCTATAGGCTTCGCCCTCTAGAGCTATAACTGGTGCGTTTATCCCTCGGCACATGCACAGCACTCAGAGAGCTTTTTCCACGCCCTCTAGCGTGATCGGCCTCATCATGCCTGTACAACGGGGTGAGACGGAAAATCGGCTCCCATTTGTCTTCAGAAGGCTGAAGATGAACTAAAGAGCTAAGATTGAAGAGCTGCTAGTGTAGGCTAATTCATATTGTAGTATTAAAGCACAAAGAACTTCTTCTGTGCTCTCCTTCATTAAAGAAAGAATTCCATGACACGCTGTTGTAGGGTAAGTACCTATTAACCTCATAAGTGTACATCTGAAATGAGAATAACTGAAGTTAAGACCACTTCAGTGTGGTTTTATGAAATGTCTTCCTTTCTGATCCATTTCTATTTTGACCATATGTTGACTAAAGGTGACTGCAGCATTTTCTTTTATTTACCTCACCAAAATAAAGTGCACCTATATTTGTCTGCCAGTGTTATCATAAAAGTGACTTTTAGACAGCTGCATCACATGTAAACATCAGCTATATGTGCAACTTTATCTTTTATTTACAGTAAGAAAGATAACAATATGTCAAAAATGACAGAAGCGTGTCGCCTTTACCAAGAGGTTATTTCCTTTAGATGTCTATTATGTCATGATAATACCAGCTCAACAGCTCCATCATGTGGACCTATTGCCAGGACACACACTCTCCAGCACATGCTTCATTGTGAGCATCTGAAATAGTCTCATAATTAATTTTTTAAGAGAATAACAAATATACATATATCCACTCAAATTGGGGATAAAACATACAACCCTTAGGTTGAGAGTCCCATACTCTACCAACTGAGCTGGGCACATTCAAAACCAGTGTTAAATTATCCTAAAAAAAATGAGCCTTGTTTAAGACTTTTTTGCTATCTCAAGAATTATCCTGTTATCACAGGAATACAGAGTGAAAAAAATGTTAAGGATGACTGCTTAGGGCTTCCATAGATAATACCACTATTTTTATTGTAATCTATTACTGCTGTTTTTAGGGCACTGCTGGTTTAATAAAGTATATATATATATATTATATATATATATATAGTATAAGTAATAATAAGTTAAATATATGGTTATTTAAATTTCATGCAGGCTGTGTGAAGATATCTCACAGACTTTTCTATCGGTCATCTGGATGGATGCTGTGGAGGGCACGGGGGGAATGACAGTGGAAGACATTTTGGCTTCTTTGTCTTCCCTTCTTTTATTCGGATCTATCTGCGGGACGTCTCCCACTTCTCCATGACATGACTCTGTGCTCTGTAAGTGTTGAATGTGCTCGTACCCCCTCCTACCTGACTGTTGACACATGGAGAGCTCTCCTCCATGTTGGCACTACACCGCTTTTGCAGGAAAATTACAGCGTAATAAAATATTCAAACTAGTTCACAAAAATGTGTGTTAGCTAATGTCACAGACAGAATTACAGGTTTTGTTGCTCCCCTGGGTAAAGGAGCAACTACATTTATGCTTTGAAATTTCTGAAAGGACACCATTGTAGTCACACTAGGCTATCTCTGAAAATAAATGATACAGATCCTTTCTGACCCACCTCCAAATCCAATATCGCCCCAGCCGGCGACCCAGGCTACAGTGTCCTTGTAGAAGGTGCTGCCTGGGGCTGCCAGGCAGATGGGCTGGACATAGTTGTTGAAAGTCACCGGTGAGAAGAGCTTCAGGAGGCAGATGTCGTTTTCAAAAGTTTTAGAGTTAAAGTTGGGATGAATGATGATCTGTGATGCTAGCCGAACCATTTCAGTGGGGTTTGATTCCTTTTGATTCTGGAGACCCAGAGACACAGTCATAGTTCTTGTGCTTACGCCTGATCTGAGGTAATCAGAAGAGAAACAAAACAGTGCAAAGGCCATAAGGACACCGTCAGCTTAATGGAGTAAAGTGATGTGAACAGTAAAGTTACTAAAACAACATCAGCGGTGCAGTAACACCTTCACAACCTAAAATCTCAGAATTGTAGCAGCATTTCACTCTTCACTCAGCCAAAAAGGTAGTTAACTGCAAATCTGAGCTTTCCTGACAACCCCGGAGCATCTAAAGAGGAGACAGGTGATGTTGTTGCTCTGTGGATGATGAAGGCTTGTCTCTGTAAGCTAGTTAGCAAGCTAGCTTCACGTTAAAGCCGAGTTACTTCACGTTATGAGCTGTAACGTCTTCTATACAGTTTCCCTTTGTCAATTTGATTGATTGATTATGGCACTGAGAGTACCACATAATTATGATACACAACGGCCGTGTTTGCAATCCAGATGTGCCCTGACTTTACAATCATGAAACGATGAATCGTTCATGGCATCGTGTTGTGGCCGAGTGTGCAAGATTAGACAACAGCGGAAATCTTCAAACTATCTAAAGCAGAGAAAACAGTTCTCCTGTCTATGCATGAGGCGGCGGGTAATCCGACCCAAACTCCCTTAAAAAAATCACAGAGTTTTGTGAGTTGCTGAGTTAGGGGAAAATATATAAACGTTGTGAAACGCTGTCTACTACAAAATTGTTATTATTGACCCCTCTGTGAATACAGAAAATGTAATGCATGACGTTATTACTTTCTTTGTATATAGTGTCAGTTTGTCCCGGGGTGTTGCAGTACTGGTGTGCAAGTTGCTCCTTCACTAAACAGCAGATCAGCTGCTGAGATCGGGACTTGATTTCAGTGGAACTTTCTTTTGCTGCAGCAGAAACATTCAGTAAAAGATGTATTTTTGAAAGCAGTATTTATTTTATTGTCGTGACTGTTAATTAGCACATGCCTAACACAACCTCAGGTTTAATTTAAAAGCTGATAGCTAAATAAGATGCATT